CGGCCCCCCGGCGTGTGCTCACCTTCCCCAGGAAGTGTTTGCGGTAGATTCGCGCCATGTGGTTACTTTCCAGCTTCACCTTCCCGCTGGGCGACTGAACGCTCTCCGCATCCGGCAATGAGGAGACGTCGTGATTGGTCCCCTCGATCCAGTAACCCCCAAACTGCGGCAGCAGGATAAGAGGGAAGGGCCCCTCCCGACCCAGGACCTGCGGGGGCAAGGGGCGGATCCTCAATCAGAACACAACACAGGAACAGGAAGTGAGGAGGACACAGAAGGGCCATGGAGGTCAGACTGGGGCACAGAAGGCACATGGAGGTCAGACTGGGGCACAGAAGGGCCATGCAGGTCAGACTGGGGCACAGAAGGGACATGGAGGTCAGACTGGGGCACAGAAGGGCCATGGAGGTTAGACTGGGGCACAGAAGGGCCATGGAGGTCAGACTGGGGCACAGAAGGGACATGGAGGTCAGACTGGGGCACAGAAGGGCCATGGAGGTCAGACTGGGGCACAGAAGGGACATGGAGGTCAGACTGGGGCACAGAAGGGCCATGGAGGTCAGACTGGGGCACAGAAGGGACATGGAGGTCAGACTGGGGCACAGAAGGCACATGGAGGTTAGACTGGGGCACAGAAGGGCCATGGAGGTCAGACTGGGGCACAGAAGGGACATGGAGGTCAGACTGGGGCACAGAAGGGCCATGGAGGTCAGACTGGGGCACAGAAGGGACATGGAGGTCAGACTGGGGCACAGAAGGGCCATGGAGGTCAGACTGGGGCACAGAAGGGACATGGAGGTCAGACTGGGGCACAGAAGGGACATGGAGGTCAGACTGGGGCACAGAAGGGCCATGGAGGTCAGACTGGGGCACAGAAGGGACATGGAGGTCAGACTGGGGCACAGAAGGGCCATGGAGGTCAGACTGGGGCACAGAAGGGCCATGGAGGTCAGACTGGGGCACAGAAGGCACATGGAGGTCAGACTGGGGCACAGAAGGGCCATGCAGGTCAGACTGGGGCACAGAAGGGACATGGAGGTCAGACTGGGGCACAGAAGGGCCATGGAGGTCAGACTGGGGCACAGAAGGGCCATGGAGGTCAGACTGGGGCACAGAAGGCACATGGAGGTCAGACTGGGGCACAGAAGGGCCATGGAGGCCAGACAGGGGCACAGAAGGCACATGGAGGTCAGACTGGGACACAGAAGGGACATGGAGGGCAAACTGGGGCACAGACTGGGGGACTCCCATTGGTGGGTGGAGTGCTGTGTATGGGGCGGAGTTCCGCCGGTGGTGGGTGGAGTGCTGTGTATGGGGCGGAGTTCCGCCGGTGGTGGGTGGAGTGCTGTGTATGGGGCGGAGTTCCTCCGGTGGTGGGTGGAGTGCTGTGTATGGG